ATCAAATCGAAACAGAAAAGATAAATTGCCATTTTTAATTTGCTATAAGTGCTATAATAAATTCAATAAAACCAACATCAGAAGAGTTTTTGATAACAGAAAAAGTCGGTCGAAAACTTTTAACTAGTATTCTGATCAACTGAATTATAGTAGTTAAGTATTTTATGATGCAATCTTGAAATGCTGCAACAGTTTTCTGTACGTGTGGGCGCCGTTTTTCATGAATAATGTACGAACGAAAAATAGTTGTTAATTGAAACTCACCTTGAAGAGCAATTTCTTTTATACCATTACCCGAATAAATGTTGTGAAGAACGCATTTACCAGAATCCGTCAACAAAAGTTGGATTATTTAATCAACAGCTTGGGAATAGAACCAATTTGTGTTGATGTGCTTGATAAAAGTTACGGATTTTATTAAATCTGAAGCTAGTGAAAATCGTCCAAACAAAACAAATTTTCCTCGCAGGCAGAATGTTCAAAGAGCAACAAATTTATGAACTGTCCTTTGTAATCTTTATCACTTAAGAAGCTATAAAGTCGTAACTTAAGTGAACTATGTTAAATGTAAATGGATTTAACACATTTTTATTACAGTAAACACATTTTTATTACAGATTGGAGTTTCTTTCGTCCTTCAAATCGCCAAATGTGAGCCAAGATGCCAAAGAAAATCAACTTCACATCGAGCTGAGAATCTCCTTTGATATAAAAAGCCAACCGAACAAGATCGTAAGTATCGACTCATCGTAAAAGCTGCAAATCGCAATTGAATGCAGTATCGAACAGTTCTTTGTTTTAATTGACATTTGAAAAATGCTGAATTAATGAAACCTGCTGACCTCAAAGATGCTTTTAGCAAAACCTCAATGCATCAACGAGATAATTGCAGCGTCAAAAAAATAAATATGTATTAACACGTTTACGTCTCATCAGACTACTCAGACCAGGTAAAATATCGCCTCTCTTGTTAAACTCGACAGGTGCATCCGCTACTGGACTTGACATTTTTGATTTATTATAAACTGTAATTATTATAAACGCATCAAAAGTTGGTCTTTTTATGGAAATCTGATTTGCATGTTTAAATGCTTCTGAATTATACAAGTATTTCTGCTATGCGTTATTTATGCTGATTTTTTTAGTCTGTCAGCTAATTGCAATTGAAAGGGATTTGGTTAAATTAAACCACTGTTAGTTATGTCACAAATTCAGTTTTACCTACATATATCAGTAGTTTTTATCGCAAGTTAATAGTGGATGTACTTTAGCCGATTAGTACATTCACCTGCCATCAGAACCATAGAGTAATCGCAGATATATCATAATAAAACATTCCGCAAAATTGAAATGTTAGTCCATACGGTAGGTTTGAATAAATCACTTTAAGCTCAGATTACATTTGGACTTACGCCGCCATTATCTAATTACTTAATTGAATTAACATTTGGCTGTGGATTTGCAATTTAGATATATTTGATTAATTGTCTAATGCATTATGTATAGGAAATAATCAAATTAGTTTATTAAAAACTGTATAAATACAAGATTGATTATTTGTTGACATTATTATTTCTTAGAATGGTAATTTGTGCTATTTTCTCGGAAGAAATATTATGGTCAGTAACCAGAAAAAAACATTGAATAATAAACGTGTACGAAAAGCAAACAAAAAACTACTGATATTATTCTGGTTGGGTATAATCGTAAGAATATCATAGCTTGTCCGAGACCGAAATTCTGAAAATGTTTGCAACACAAACAGATATTACCCAAACAATTAAGCGAATTTTAAACGGTCTGCCAGCAAACTAACCATAAAGTAATCAACTTTGAAAAATCGTAAGTAACGACAACGCTGTTCGTAATCTGCGATAAGGAATCTCAACATTTCAATCTCCAAGAACTTTTTAGACAACACCAACATTTATTAACACCGCGAAATTAAACAAAAATAGGAAACGCACCTTTGCCTCTGTCTTTTATCGTAACGGAGGACATTAAATGCAATGATGTTACAGCCGTACATTTGAATTATACCCGAACATAAATTACCGAACAAGTAGATAGTTAGACGGAGATGATACTTGCTTGTAAATGTAGCCTATAACTTTAGGGGAAATCCTTAAAGACGCTTTTTAAGTTGTCAGAAATATTCCGCTATAAATTTTACTTTCTCCGACTTTGTTGCCGCACTTCACTCAACATGATTTGCCGGCCAAAGTCAAAAGTTGCTTTTTATTATTGAGTTGTAAAACAATTAAATTTTAACGAAATGCTTCTTCGTAACTGGTTTTTCTAGCTTTGTAAACAATGAAGAAATGCCAACAGGCAGGCAAGGTTGAGGCGTACAAATAAATACAATTAGTTTAGAGAAAGAATCCACAAACGTTTAATTAAACCTCACATAACAACCAATAGCAACTGCTTGAGAAAAATTGCTGAATCCTTTAATTCAAATATGTTGTTATGCTAAGTTGAAAAACATACAAAATGTAGTTAAAAGTTCCATCAAAGATCCGTTATGGTTTGAAACCATCATAGCAGAACAAACGTTTTCAGATTGGGAATTAAATAACTAAGGACAGTGAGAAGGAGTCACAAAATTATTTTCTGAAAGTTTTCTAATGGACGTTTTGGGGTTGGATGAAAAAAATACATTTTCCTACTGGAGCTTCTATCCGCTGATCTTGATCTAGAAAACTTCTTAATGGTATAGTTATGTCAATCTTCAAGAAATCAGATACAAAGCACGTTTGATTTTTAAGCATCATTTTTAATGTGACCTTTTTTGTTTTGTGTTTGCCTTTATCAATAAACTGATAATATATAGATTTAAGAGACGAACGCTCTTACAAAGTCAAGTCGTTGATACATTAAATTGAACAGACTACTTTCAAGAAAATCACGGGCATACGCAGATGATTTAATAATCTCGCTTAAGTCGATCTCTCATTAAGAAGACAATCGTGCTGAACTTGTGCTGTTAGTGCTCTTCATTGGCTTCGTTTCCTGTATTTATTCGCAACATCGTTAAATAAAGTTTTTTTTCGCGCCATATTTCGAATGCATCAACTTTTCTTCTGTCCGCTGCTTTAATTGGCTAAGTTTCAGCACCATATCAAACAATGGTCATTAAAGAAGCCTTATTTTTGTTAATTTTTCATAGAACGCCCTTTCTTGTTGTTAGGTAATCTAATTGCCTTTTGGGAATATCTTATTATCTTCAGATGTGGCTTCCACTTGAAGCTGTGTAACCAAGATATGAATCCACATAGATAATATAGCACATCAATCAGCTGCAGAAGGTTAGAACAATCGATAGTCATACTTTTGGTTTTACCTTCGTTTAACCAAAGCCTGTATCAGACGTCTGTCTTAATTCGACTTGGAGGATCCGACATTTTCTCTTCTGGTGCAGCTTTCAACATTGTATCATCAGGTTTGTTAGATTTTCAGACGCAACTAAGATTCCCCCAATACGCTTTCCTTATTATATGATGCATTGCTGGCGATAAGACTTAAATGGGAAAGAATGTCTTTTTTTTATTTAGGTCATCTTTTTCGCCTAAATGTGTTTTATGGGTGGTATTGGTGTTCAGGCACTCCCATCTCACAATAAGCGATAAACTTTTCATAGTATTTTTCTATTGACTCAGTCAAATGCCTTTGGATAATGCTAGCAGAGATTAGTAGACTACTAATCTCTGATGCTAGAAACAGGTTGCAATTGGAATATTGAATTACGAGCCTTTTTCTAAGGGTTGTGGTGAGTTGGGAATCTATCGTCTAGATCCCCTCAGAAATCCTGCGTGTTCATTCTGCAAGTGGTATCCTGTTATATTGTCGTAGTTTGGAGATTTTATTTAGGTATTTAAATGTACTATTGCCTCCTTTATTTCGGCTTGTATGCTGTACGTTCCGTGTTCTAGTTCGTTTGTATTAATTACAGTGACTTCTTCGGATTCAATTATGTTATTTAATAATGCCATTCCCAAAGTTGCTAATATATATATATAAATAATCTTTATTTCCTACAGAAAAAGGCTATCGACCCAATCGGTCTTTCTGCCCTAGTTGCTAATAATTATCGACAAAACTGTTAATTTTGAAAAGTCCTATGATACAAATTTTAAGAACAGTTATAATGTTTTTGTCTTCGTACAGCTGAAAAAGTGGATTTTAATGATGTGACACTTATTTCTGTTAAGATCGGTTTAACGCTTAAAAAATCAAGATTCCGAGGATCATCTGAAACCCTATCAACATCAATCTTACAATACGGGGAATTAGCGAAGAAAATGCAAATTACTGTCAGAAAAGTGAAATTTCTGCACAATTCCGAAACAATTCAATTCCTATCAGAAGTTCCGGACTTTAAGTAACTATTTGGATACAGCCACTTGAGGAAAAGAGTAAACATGTTGATAATCATTGAGCATCTGCTGCCAGCAAAGCAAACATATTCAGAAAACCGTACGTAGTCACCATCTGCTCCACACAAAAAGTAGATAGAGCATTAAAATGAAAAAATACTTATATTAACTTTTCCGAAAAAAATAATTAGGTATCAAAATTATTCTATCAAATGAGTATCTTTCTATACATTTTTTAATATAATATTGTCCAAACTTATTTATTACTTTTTGCATTTGACACTTTTTGCTATTAAGTCAATTATAGCAAGTGAAATTTTTTTTGCGCAAATAGTGTTGGTTATGTATTTTAATATGCTGAACTCAAATCTAAGCAAGCGTTTTGAAATTTTTTCTTCTCAAATGGTTTTCTAACACAGTTTTTATCAGCTTTTTTGAATAATTATTTATCTGGGTTGAAAAATACCCAAGAAACGATTAGTCTGAGAAAAAATTAAATTAAGGCTTGAATGTTAGTTCTGTGCGTAAAACTATGGAAGTTCGGTGGTTCTCCGGTTGATTTCAGTATTCCGTTGGCCAGTAACAAGGTAATAATCTGCGTTTATGAAAAATTATTTATTTGCGATGGGCAGCACCCATGGAGCGATTAGTCCGACGCAAATAATAGAGTAAGTGTTAGTTCTCAGCGTACAACTAAGGAAATCGGGGATTTTTCCGAAGTTTTCCGAAAAACGGTAGGTAACACGTTGTTCATCGGGAGAACCTGATCAGTTATTTTTTACTTTTTAACAAAACCAAAGTCATTGCCACTCATGTAGAAGCAGAACTGATAATTTTATTGTTGGATAAAAAAGCGAAAACGCAGGTAATGGTAAAAAAGTCGAAACAGAAGCAAATTTAATTTGCAAGGTAAAGTGCAGGCAAAATCGTCCACGTATCTCCCTCGTCGGCTACGTGTTCGGTATAATAAAAAAGAACAGCGAAACTGAAAAAATTCAAACAATTACGCTTATAAATCAAATTTTAACCTCGGTCCGCTGCAGCCGATAACACTGCCCCCCGTTTAACCGAGCGTCGACTACCGTCGATTAAAAGGGGCCTAATCTGAATTTATTGGAACCTACATTATTTTGGTCCTTATGGCCAGGAGAGAGCCGTCTTTTTTGTTCTTTCACTCCGCTGCGGTGTTTACATAGGAAAGCAAGGTCGACGATCTCATCACCGAAAATGTATGGCCATAATTTGGTCAAGTGTGGTCGCTTTTCAAGAAATTCTGGTGTTAAGTAACGTGTCGCTTTCAAATTTAATGCGGGCTGCTGGAACTCCGGAGACGCTTTTATCTCACGCTTACCGCATCAAACTGATTAAATTTGGGCTTTCTTAATTCCATAACAATTGCATATTGCCAGAAGTACATATTGTGTGCATTCAATCCAGGAGAATCCATTCTGTAGTTTCGTATTCATTTCAAATGGGAAAATTGCCTTTTGTGATTGTACTTTGCATTCCTCAACATCACATAACTGAAAAATCTAATTCTGGTCTACGATTTTGCAATATATGCTGAAAAGGGAACACGTCTGGTATAACTGCATGTCCAAGCTGTATGCTGTATTTATTACAGAAGAAAAATCAGTCAAACTGAGCTTAAAGCCTATTGCAAAAACTACAAACATGCACCGCATTGAACAAAAACCAGAACGGTTCTATGGCCACCTTAAGGCGCCAATTAATGCTCATTCAGGCAAGTAAAAAAATGAAAGAAACCGCCAGCGTTTCGACTATTTTATATCCTGATGACGTAAGAAATACGGATTAGATCGAACATTTGCTAAGATTAATCTTCGGTGTGCAGTGGACAATTTGCCCGTGGAAGAAAGTTGAATGAAGAAGAGTGCTTTCCTATACGCTCTATCTTCATTTCAAACTGAAGGGTTACATACATATTGAAAACATTAGTTTACATACAACTGAAAGTAAGAGTTAGAAGTTTATACATTGCTGATTAAACTTAAGCTGACACATAGCTGAAAATCTCAAATATATTTTACAAAATTCATAATAAAGAAGCAACTCTAATTATTACTATTATGGTAAATTCTTTAGTAAATTATATGGAAATCTATGTAAGTAATACACACAATCAGCAAATGTTGCATGTTTCAAAGCGTAGCACTTGGTTATACAAAAAAGCACTGAATCGTGTATATCTAAGAATTGACGATTTTACTTCTACTTTGCCAGGGAGAAAGACTCAGCCAACGACGTGTGAGAGCGGCTATTATGAAAGTAATTATGGGTTTTTTTGCTAATAAAATATAGAACATGTGCTACAGTGACTAGTGCACGAAGAGTGTCAAGAGTTTTGTCTTTGATTTCCCGCTAGGTTTTCCAGTCGTGTAAAGCGAACGTTTAAAACAGTTTAATTTTATAAACACCATTGTTAATTTTGAAATTTGAAAATCATTAGGCAGAAGCTGGAAATCGTGGAACACATCACCCGAGCAAATGTTATAACAAAAATTTCTCAGAAATTTTAAGAGTTACTTGATCACATTACGGATGAAAATAAACATGAAGAAAGTAATAAACGAAGAAATGTTAGTTTTGTATTTCAAAGTGTGTACTTTGCATTTAAAATCAAGCGAAAAATATTTCATATAATACACCTTTCTACACTTAGGAAAAGGGATTAGACGTTGAATAGTATGGAAGTTGTATACGGCATGGAATATGGACCGACAGAAACATAGCAGACCAAAGAAAAATAAGCACAATTTATAAATCGATTAAGTGTTAAGTGTAGGTTCCTTCCTCAGATTTTTATTTGTGTTGCTATTATTTAATCTTTTTAACACTCGCGGTGGATTTACTTTTATCATAATCATTTTTTTGTGTACTTTTCATCCATATTCACATCCTGATAATGCAGAAAAAATAATGGTATAAGTGAGTTAAGTTTATCGTTATTTTATGCAAAAGTATTCAGCCATTATTATTTTATTATATTGTCCTATTTATTCGGACATGTAATACGCATTTTACTGCAGTTTTATTTAGCATTTTACATTCACAGTGGTTGAGCCATGCCAGTTGGATAATAAAACATTTAATGATTGTACAAGTGCGTGTGCTAATTAATTATGTTTAATTAAAGATGATAGTTATATAAATGTAAAAATGCGACGGTTTTGAAATGTTAATACGTTGAATCCACATGATGGTAGAACAAAGATACTACGAATACTACAAAGAATTTGAATTCAGAGATTCAGCGAAGGGCTAAGAAACTGATGTTATTTGAATGCACAATATTTCTGATGATCTGCACGCTCAGGACAGTAATTAAAATAATCGAAAATGCATTTTCTTTAAAATATATATATTTATGTCTGCATGTTTAATGTGATTTGTATATTTCTGAGTTTTACTTTGTATCCTTTTGAAAGTGCTGCATTTTATGAGAATTATGACAGTAACAGAACATTTTTCCTTAGCATATTGCGATGCGTGTAAAACTTCATAAGTTGCAAAAAAAGTGAGATATCATAATTAGGTCGATTTCTTTAAAAAACGTCTGTTCTTTGCGGCTAACAGAAACCTGCGACGAAAAATCGATAAAGGTAAATCCTTACAACTTGAAAATCACATATTTACTTATAAATTAAATTCAAGTTTGAACTTCTAAGATACATTCACTTTCTCCTCTGTGAGTGGATTTGAAATAGTTTTTTTATAAGCATATTAAGGCAACTCCAAATTTCTTTGCCATATAATCTTTCTGCAACTTCTCAAACTTTGTAATATTCGATATTTTCCAAAGAAAATTTTTAAAATAATATCTGACAAATGGTTTATAGATTGAAGTTCAAGAAATTTGTTCAAAAACATTGTAGTCTTTTGCATAAAGTGTCTTACAAATGGTAGCCACCAAGCACTGCAGCACAGTATTCTAAATGATAACGAAAACTTAAAAAATGTGAATGACTTAATGAGAAAGTCACAAGTAATGAAATTACATCTTAATCACGAGGCAATATGCCAACAACAAATATATTCAATTCTTGGGACGAAAGATAGGAATCTCGGTATGTTATTAGCCAGATGGGTCATTATTTAAATGTCTTTCTTCTTAGAGAGAAGCAATATCTTTTCATTATATCAACTTGCTTCAGATGATTTACCTGGTCAAGCTTCTACAGAGTGTCTAGACAACGTGCCAAATTTTATGTGAAAGAAAATGAAGAAAGGGTTTTTAAAAATCTTTAAGGGGTGACAAGTAATCGATTAAAAGAAGCAAGCAATAAAATTTAGTTCGCAATGTGAGTGCTCGAGTACTTTACTTTTCATGAAAATTGGTAGGAAATTCAAGCAGTTAAATTTACAATCAAAGACATAAAAGTGAAAAAAAAATGGTAGCAAAATTTGTAAGTAAAATTACTTCTGATTATTTTTTATCACTTTCTTTAGAGAAAATTCTGAAATGAACGGAATCGTGAAAGGAAAGAAACTTTCGAAATAGGTAGATATAAAAAAATTCTACGGCCTGAAAACGTTCTTTCTTTGATACTGAAAACGTACATACCGACTCCAAAATAAGTTATTTAGTTTAAAATCGCGCCTTCTTCCTATATTATAATTTGGCAATTAGAAACTTATATACCAGTAAAGTTCCCAAGTGTTCAGTTACAACATAAAATTATTTTTCAAAACAGGACATGCAAATGGTAAGTTCTTAAAAAGTTTCCCAATACATCCAACTAAATTAATAGAACCTGACAGCAGCACAAATTGGCTCATGTTAACATCAACCAAAAAAGGACAGTAAGATTTAGTCATACTGTAAAATTAATATTCTTAATTAATTATTAGTATACCAAAACAATTTCACCAAATGCTAATCAACATAGGCCTATAACAGGTTTTCCGTGAAATTCAAGTTTTGAAGCGATGTTCTACTAGCACGAAGACATACAACTGTTTACTATTTGAATCGTTTCCACTAAATACCTTTACTACTAGGCAATATACGCAAATTAGCTCGATTAAAAGTTAACCTGAAAGTTTGACCTTTTGCATGCATTAAGAAAAAGCGTAAATTAATTAGAAAACTGATGCAAAAAAGCACAAACATATTAATTTGCAACTAAATGGATATTAATTTTCAAACCTTTTAAACTTAACGGCAGTTCCTGGTTTGTGACTTATCAAATCCTGGACAGTGTAATAATTTATTAAGCATGCAGCAGCCAATGTGTTTCGCTAAGAGCTTTTCAAACATCTAAAAAATACTGAAAACCACCTTTACATGTATAGTCAATTAACTGTTAATCCTAGTTTTACATAATTCAGGAAAATTAGATAATATTTCTATTTGAAAATCAAATGTATCAATTAGCATAAAGTAAAAAGAGTATTGGAGAATTTTTGATATTCACGAAAACTGGCCGCAAAGAAGCATTTATAATTTTAGGTATTTATACTGTCTGAATTTTTCAATTGTATACGGTTCTAAACTAAGCGTTTTATCCGAAATTGTTTTTAAAAATACAACTAACTTACAGTCGATTTTCATGTAGCAAAAAATCGTTCGAAATATGCGTATTATGAAGTAACACAATTTGGCTCGTATTTGTAAGTTGTTTAGCAATGTGTACCTATGTTTAGT